TCTGCATCTAGTGAGAAAATTGTGGTTTTGTCCATTATTCTATTGATATATTACATTGATATTCAGATATTAAACCAAACTTGCATTCCCCAGAAAAGTCTCACTTGCTCAGGGTATGTAATTCTTTTTATATGGTGCTGCATTCATTTTGGTTGTATTTTACTGAGAATTTTTATATCCATATTCTTTTTTTTTGAGTTGGAGTCTCACTCTGTTGCCCAGACTGGAGTGCAGTGGCTGCTCCCGGCCACTGCAGCCTCGACCTGCTGGGCTCCGGCGATCCTTTCACCTCAGCCTTCCAAGTAGCCGGAATTACAGGCATGCGCTACCACACCCGGCTGATTTTTTAATTTATTGTAGAGATGAGGTCTCGCTGCCCAGGCGGGTCTCGAACCTGCAGTCTCAGGCAATCCACTCACCTCAGCCTCCCAAAGTGCTGGGATTACAGACTGAGCCACCGAGCCCGGCTGTATCCATATTCTTAAGAGAGAATGGTTAGTATGCAGCTTTATTTCTTATGATGTCTTTTGTTTGGTTTTAGTTATCAGGATAATACTGGCCTCATAAAATTAGTTGGAAATATTCCCTCATATTGTATTTTTTGGAATAGTTTCCTTCTTTTAAAAATTTAAGCAAAAATTTCAAATTTTATTAGCACCGTCAATTAAAATGGTTATACACACTCTGATTTTTTTTAATTGAGATATGATTCATGTTACCATAAAACTCGCTCTTGCTGGGCGTGGTGGCCCACACCTGCAATCCTAGGACTTTGGGAGGTGGAGGCGAGAGGACTGACTGAGACCAGGTGTTCAAGACTAGCCTGGGCAACTTGGCGAGACCTTGTCTCTACAATAAATAAAGAAAATCAGCTAGGTGTGGTGGCACACATCTGTGGTTCCAGCTACTTGGAAGGTTGAGGTGGAAGGATCGCCTGAGCTCAGCAAGTCAAGGTTGTAGTGGCCATAAATGTGCCACTGCCCTCCGTCTGGGTGACAGAGCAAGATTCCAACTCAAAAAATCAAAAACAAAAACAAAAAACCCTCACCAAAACAAAACAAAACAAAACAAAAAACTCTCACTCTTTTAAAGTATACACTTCAATGGTTTTTAGTATATTCACATAGTGCAACCATTACCACTAATTCTAGAACACTTTCATCACCCAAAAAGGAAACACTGTATTAGCAATTATTCCCTATTTTCCTCTTCCCCCAGCTCTTGCAAGCAATAATCTACTTTCTATCTCTATGGATTTACCTATTCTGGACATTTTATATGAACTGAATCATAAAAGATATGACTTTTTGTGTCTGGCTTCTTTTACTTAGCATGTTTTCAAGGTTAATTCATGTTGTAGCATGAATCAGTACTTCATTCCTTTTTATAGCTGACTAACATTGTATGGCTAGATTACATTTTATCTATCTATTAATGAGTTGGATATTTGGGTTGTTCCTGCTTTTATGGCTATTATGAATAATGTTAGTATTAACACTCATGTACGGTTCTTCAATGAATATGCTTTCAGTTCTCTAGGGTATGTACGTAAGAGTGGAATTGCTGGGTCATATATAAACTGTTTAACTTTTTGAGGAACTGCCAAACTGTTTTCTAATGCAGTTGTTCTTCTTTACATTCTCACAAAAAGTATGAAGGTTCCAACACTTGTTATTGTCTTGATTCTAACTATCTTAGTGGGTTTAAAATGGTGGCTTTAATTTGCATTGCTCTAATGACTGCTGAACATCTTTTCATGTGTTTATTGTGCATTTGTGTATCTTCCTTGGAGAAATATCTATTCAAACTAATTACTTTAAAATTGGGTTACTTGCATTTGTATTAAGTCATAACAGTTCTTTACATATCTGAGTATTATACTCTTATCAAATATGTGATTTGCTAATATGTTCTCTCATTCTCATTTCTCTAACTTTCACTTTCTTGCCAGTGTGCTTTGAGGCTAACTGTTTTATATTGTTAAGCATAAACTTCCCTGAAAGAGGAATTTTATTTATAACTCTAGTTTATTCCCTCCTAGAAAACCAACTGCAACCAAATGAAGTGAACATAATCTCTATTTTATTGTCTTAATAAGACAAAAGATGATGCTTACTTAGAGCTGGATCACTTGGCCCTTTCTTTTAGCTCCTCCCAGTTCAAAATATTTGCACCTCTATTTAATAGACAGCATTCTCTTAGATCTGTAGTTGAGCTCAATGCACTCAAGCCTCAGCATAACCCTCTTTGTAGTTTTAACCTTTTTTCCAGAAAATCAGCTTAGTTTGCCCACTATAACCATTCTGCTTTCCCTGGGCGTGCAGAAAATCCTTGCCTCTCTTATACTTTGTAGGATTGGTGCCCACCACACTTCTTACAGAAAGTATAGTGGATTTTAGGAACATTCACCATGTTTGCACCAAAAGAAGTAAACCTAACAGTTTTTAGCTTTAGAGAAGTCCAGTTTATCTATTTTTTTCTTTTGTTGTTTGTGCTTTTAGTGTCATGTCTACAAAACCACTGCCAGATCTAAGGTCATAAAATTTTAAACTTAAATTTTCTTCTAAGAGTTTTACAGTTTAAGCTCTGATATTCAGGCCTTTTGATCTATTTTGAGTTTATTTTTGCATATGGTATGGGGATTCCATGAGCTCTTTAAAAACCATTAGTTGTTTGTTTTGGTTTTTTTTTTGAGTTGGAGTCTCACTCAGTCGCCCAGAGTGGAGTGCAGTGGCCGCTCCCGGCCACCACAGCCTCGACCTGCTGGGCTCCAGCAATCCTTCCAAGTAGCTGGAACTACAGGGGTGCGCTACCACGCCTGGCTAGTTTTTAATTTACTGTGGAGATAAGTCTCACCAAGTTGCCCAGGCGGGTCTTGAACCCGTGGGCTCAGGCAATCCACTCACCTCAGCCTCCCAAAGCGCGGGATTACAGGCTGAGCCACCGAGCCCAGCTCCATTAATTCTTAACATGGTTCTAGGCTAATAATAATTTGTCCCAATTAAGGACAAAGAAGTGGAAATAGAAAGAACAAAGTTCTAAGGATCTGTAGAGCAATGAATCAATAGGAATTTACTCTTAAAAGCCTGTCTCTTAGGCTAACTCTAATGACACTTCTTTCTATATCCTTAAGCTTTGGGAGAGAAATTAGCAATAAAAACTGATTTTTTAAGGAGTTAGTCAGGCTGGGCATTGGTGGCTCATGCCTGTAATCCCAGCACTTTGGGAGGCTGAGGCGAGAGGACTGCCTCAGCCCAGGGGCTCAAGACCAGCTTGGGCAACTTGATAAGACCTTGTCCCTACAATAAATCACAAAAATTAGCTGGGCATGGTGGCATGTGCCTGTGATTCCAGCTACGTGGAAGGATGAGGTGGAAGGATTGTCTGAACCCAGCAGATCAAGGCTGCATGAGCGTGTCACTGTACTCCAGCCTGGGTGATAGAGTGAGACCCTGACTCAAAAAAAAAGAAACGGAGTTAGTCATTTTTCCACCCCCAGGAGTATTTGACATATTAAAATATGCTCTGGCTACTCTACTATTTCTAAATATATCTCAAGTCTGATTTTTTTTTTTTTTATAGGCTAGTCAAGTGAAGCAGTGGGAGGAGAGAAGAAACAAAGAAATCAGTAGTTGGTTGTGATCAATTAGAATACTGATTTTTTTTTTTTTTGAGTTGGAGACTCATTCTGTCGCCCAGGCTAAAGTGCAATGACACGCTCATGGCCACTGCAGCCTCAACTTGCTGGGTTCAGGTGATCCTTTCGCCTCAGCCTTCCAAGTAGCTAGAACTACAGGAAAGTGCCACCACACCCAGCTAATTTTTTTTTTTTTTTTTTGAGTTGGAGTCTCACTTCGTCGCCCAGACTGGAGTGCAGTGGCCGCTCCCGGCCACCACAGCCTCGACCTGCTGGGCTCCGGCGATCCTTCCGCCTCAGCCTTCCAAGTAGCCGGAATTACAGGCATGTGCTACCACGCCCGGCTGATTTTTTGATTTATTGTAGAGATGAGGTCTCGCTGCCCAGGCAGGTCTCGAACCCGCAGGCTCAAGCAATCTACTCACCTCAGCCTCCTAAAGGCGCAGGATTACAGGCTGAGCCACCGAGCCTGGCTTAATTTTTTGATTTATTGTAGAGATGAGGTCTCGCCAAGTTGCCCAGACTGGTCTCAAACCCATGGGCTCAGGCAATCCTCTCACCTTGGCCTCCCAAAGTGCTGGAATTACAGGCGTGAGCCATCGTGCCCGGCTGAGATTACTGGTATTTAAGAAATATTTAAGACAAGGAGGCCTTTTACTCAACTCATCTTGATAAAACAAGACAAAACTTAAAGATATTTTGTTACTGTCTTTAAAAAGAACACTAAGAACTGGTTTTGTTTTATGATAAAAATTATCTCCAATCTTTCTGAGGTTTCCTAAAAGGCACGGAAGTCACAGAATATAACTTTTATAGTAATGAGTGTAGAAAAAGTAAATTCGCTGGGCTGAGTGGCTCAGCCTGAGCCCGCGGGTTCAAGACCAGGGCAATTTGGTGAGACTCGTCTCTACAATAAATCAAAAAATTAGCCAGGTGTAGTAACACATGCCTGTAGTTCCGGCTACTTGTAAGGCTGAGACGAAAGGATCACTGGAACCCAGCAGGTTGACAATGGCGTGGTCATGAGTGTGCCACTGCATTTCAGCCTGGGTGATGGAGCAAGATTCCAACTCAAAAAGGAAAAAAAAAGAAAAAGTAAATTCAAAGCACGGTGATGGGACAGAAGTCTCATTTTTTTTTTTTTAACATATAAGGACCTCAACATTCTCTCTCTTTCTCTCACACATACACAGTAAAATGGGGTTAAGATAATTACCCTGAATAGGATCCGTAAATAGATATTTTGCAGAAGAGCTAAATGTCATGCAAAACAAGCTATAAAGGAATATCCGGGATACATTCAGCATACTATGGTTTTAGGAAATTTCAAATGTCAAGGCTCATAGGCTTGTCCAATACTCACAGGAGAAAGCTTCTGGATAAGGTCGTGGGCAACGTGGACAAGATTCTTGTCTTCATGGAGGCATTTCTGAAATTTTTTGCTCTCCTCATCTTCCAGAAGATCAAAATCAATGGCAGCATCCAATAAGGCCTGAATTAACCCCTTCCAGGATTTTAGTGCTGGAACCTGAGGTGCAACTGCAGCACTGATGCCTGTTCCAATTACCAGTACGAGTTCTCGAGGCTTCTTAGTTTTTAAGCTTGGAAGCAGTTTCCTGAAAAAACGAAACAAATGAGAGGATTGGAATATCCAATAGCTATGAAGCACCTGAAAAGACTGTCTGACTAAAGTTATAGTTTTCAGCTATAATTTTTATAGCTGCAAAGATGGTAAATACCAGTTTTTGGCACTTTTCCAAAGTAGCTTAACCAAAAAGACCAGAATATTATGTCAGTGCTTGCTGAAAAACAAAGTACTAAACATATTTCAGGAATCCTAAAAACTCATCTTAAAATCAATTTGCTCCTTCTTGGTCTTCTCAACCTAAGAAATCTTAGTAATATTAGGAAAAGGACCAAATATGTTGTAGTTCAGCTGAGTTCTACCAATTAAATTATGTATTTTAAATCAATATCAAATTTGTGAAGACATGTTTGATTTATATTTCTGAAAGAGTGAAAAGAACCCCATACAAATTAAGTTCCTATTGTTGAGAAATATCAGACAGGAGATGAAAGTCAATACAAAATTTAACTCCAAATTTTATAAACACTATTAAGATAAAATTGAGCATGAGGCAGTGAAACATGAGAACAAATCTGCCCTTGGTTTGTTCTAGATATCCTCAGGGCAAGAAAAAAAAAGTGGCCAAAAGAATTCTGAAAACACAGGAGCCTCACATACCTAAATCAACAAAGAAATAACAATTCAACGAACATAACAAGCACAGACAGATTTGTATTCTGAGGCCCATATGGGCGCTAGCATGGATACACATTTTTGTTTTTGTTCCCTACGTCCTGTTTTATCCTGGAGACTATATTAAGATCTCTGCTTGAAATTTGTTCCTTCACTTTAACTGTCGCTAATGGCATGCTACAACCTCCCACCCCCTAGACATTGCCTTTCCCAACCTTTTGTCTAAATAATAAAATAAAGAGAAACAGTATCATAAGCCAAGAAAGGAACAATGCTTTTAAGCCTCGAGGAAAGCCGGTTTTGGGGAAACAACCTCTAGAACTGCGTTTCCTCTCACCAGCTTCTGCACTCATTCAACAAATATGAAAAATCTATAAATCAGACACTACAGTAGGTACTAATGATGTATCTACAAACAAAATGAAGCCCCTGATCTCAAAGGTTAGTCTATTGAAAAAGATTGATAATAGATATTAGAAGCAAATTATAAAAAATGAGTTTAAATTCAGAAAAATCAAGATTGTGAAGCATACATACATACACACACAAATGTACAAACACACGGAAAATTTCTAGGAAGGGTTCACAAGCTGTAAATAGTGTCTGACTGGTGATTAGGGGGAATAAAGACATTTACTTTTGACTTTATACTGCTGTACTATTTGATTTTTTCTTTTTAACCACACAGATATGGATTTGGGCTATGATTTTCCCAATTAAAACTTCCAGTCAAAAACAAAAAATTTCAGTCGGACTCGGTGGCTCAGCCTGTAATCCCAGGATTTTGGGAGGCCAAGGAGAGTGGATTGTCTGAGTCCATGGGTTCGAGACCAGCCCAGGCAACTTGACAAGACCTCTTCTCTACAATAAATCAAAAATTAGCTCGGTATGGTAGCATGCACCTGTAGTTCTGGCTACTTGGAAGGAAGGCTGAGGGAAAGGGATCACTGGAACCCAGCAGGTCGACGCTGGGGTGGCTGTGAGTGTACCACTGCACTCCAGACTGGGAGACAGAGTAAGACATCAACTCAAAAATAAAACTGGCTGGGCATGGTGGCTCATGCATATAACTCCAGCACTCTGGGAGGCTGAGGCAGGAGGACTGCTTGAGTCTACAAGTTGGAGACTAGCCCATACAACATAGTGATACCTCATCTCTACAAAAAATGAGGAAGTTAGTCAGGCATGGTGGCATGTGCCTGTAGTCCCAGCTACTTGGGAGGCTAAAGTGGAAGGATTGCCTGAGCCCTCAAGCCTAGGCAACAGAGTGAAAACCCCAACTCAAAAAAAAAAAAAAATTAACATCTGTGTTTTAGTTCTGGTCCTTCCTAAAACCACCAAATAATAATTTTTATTTTTAGAGGGTATACATGCATGAAAAGATGACAGCAGACAACAGAGGTCAGAGGGCAACAAAATTTTAAAAAGTCATAACGTGGAAGTTGATTCCCTTTGCAGAACCTTAGGAATGTCCAGGTATATCTGAAGGTGGGGCTCAACTAGAAGAATCAGTTGCAAGTTTACATTAGAAGCAGTTAAAACACTAATTCTAGAGGCTTGCTATCTGTAGAAACTGAACCAGAGGACTCTGTATTTGAGAATTCTGTGCACAACAGGGGAGTGGGGATTAAGTAAAAGTCTGTAAATGAAATATTAGACTTCTTTCAGCTGTTTCCCCAGGGGAAGCTTCTTAGGTACTGGGAGCCAACTTTATACCTGCACCTCCATCCCCCTTTCAGTCAGGAGATGGGAAGATTTCTCTTTGGGGAAAGTGACCAGTATGAGATACAAGACCCATAGCTTCTGATAGGTAGGAGTTCCTCCACTATAGACAAAACATCTGGTCAATGCTTGATAACCACAGGAAAGCCCATCCAAGCCCCTTAGATACACAGACTCTCCAACTGGCTTTTTAGTGACTTAAATATGAGCAAATAGACATTTGAGGAAAGCCTCGAAAATGACAGTTACACCAAAAAAACAAAACAAAACAAAAACCAGCAGGTAGAGAGGAATTTGGAGGAAACAAGAGAAAGAAAATCTAAAATAAAACAATAACACATAGTAAAAATTGCATCTATGAGCTAGGTGAGGTGGTTCATGCCAATCATCCCAGCACTTTGGGAGACTGAGGAAGGAGAATCACTTGAGGCCAGGAGTTCAAGACCACGTTGGGCAACATAGCAAGACCCCATCTCTACAAAAAATAAAAATAAATACATTTTTTAAAGTTGCATCTAGCTGGGTTCGGTGGCTCAGCCTGTAATCCCGCGCCTTTGGGAGGCTGAGGTGAGTGGACTGCCTGAGCCTGCGGGTTTGAGACCCGCCTGGGCAGCGAGACCTCATCTCTACAATAAATCAAAAATCAGCCGGGCGTGGTAGCGCACGCCTGTACTTCCGGCTACTCGGAAGGCTGAGGCGGAAGGATCCCCGGAGCCCAGCAGGTCGAGGCTGCGGTGGCCGGGAGCGGCCGCTGCACTCCAGTCTGGGCGACAGAGTGAGACTCCAACTCAAAAAAAAAAAAAAAAAAAAAAAGTTGCATCCACGTGGCTGAGCGCAGTGGCTAATGCCTATAATCCAGAGTTTTGGGAGGCTGAGGTGGGAGGATTGTTTGAGGCTAGGAGTTCGAGAACAGTCTGAGAGACATAGGGAGACCCTGACGCTACAGACAAATAAATAAAATTAGTTGGGTGTGGTGGCATGTGCCTGTAGTCCTAGCTACTTGGGAGGCTGAGGTGGGAGAGCTGCTGGAGTCCAGGACTCAGAGTCCGCAATGAGATATGATCATGCTACTGTACTCGAGCCTGGGCCAGGGCAGGACCTGTCTCAAACAAACAAGCAAACAAACAAACAAATCCCCTGAAAACAAAAAGCATCTAAGAAACATGAGCAGAGTGCTATAAAAAAAGGAACAAACAAAAAGACTTATCGGAAATTAAGAATATAACAACAAAATTTAAAAGCCCATAAAGATAAAAGAGAAAACCTCAGAGAAAGTAGAATTAAAAAAAAAAAAACAAAAACAAAAACAGAGAGATGGAGGAAAAAATAAAGAAAAATATAAGAAAATCAGAGATTTAATCAAGGAGGTCCAACATCTGAATAGCAAGAGTTCTACAAAGACAGAATAGAGGAAAAGTTGTAATGTAAAGTATCAAATAAGTAACACAAGACAATTTGCCCAAAGTGAAATCACAAGTAGCCAGACTGAAAGAGCCACCTAATGTCTAAATTCATAAGAAGAAGATATATCATTGTGAAATTTCAGGTTACTGAGAATAAAATATTGATCCTTACAAGCTTCTAATTAGACAAGAAAAAGAAGTCACATAATATAAAAAACTGGAAATCAGAACAGAGTGGCTATTTTGGCAGGAACAGTCAGATGTTAGCAAATAATCAGTGATGCCATGAAAACTCTAAAAAAAACTTATTTCTACCAAAAACTCTACACTTAGCTAAACCATCAAATAAATGTAGTGTAAGATAAAGACATTTTTAAATGTTTTCAAAAAACTTTCTCCCACAGATCCTTATTAAGGAGGCTACAGAAGGGTATGCTTCAGCACAATGAATGAGTATACCAAAAAAGAAGACATGAGACTCAGGAAACAGAGGACTCAATACAGAACAGATCTAAAAAGAATTCTCAGGATGACGGGGAAAGGAAACAGCCAATTTCAGCAATGTAACAGGCCTGCAGAACAACTCTCCAGAGTGGGCTACAGTACAGAGGAAGAATCCATGAACGAATTAAACTAGCAAGTTACTGATGTGTTTCAGTCTACCTAAGAGATTTATTCTTCTGTTAGAGTGATGAATGCAAAGGTACCCAGAAAACAAAGCAAGCAAAAAATGAGGAAATCTTTAACAACTGAGAAAAAAATGGGCAAGAAAGGAAATAAAATAATAACATATTATCAGGCTTAGCTATTAATACTATTCATGTAGTCATAATAGTGTAAATATTAAAAACTGACTAAAGAAAACATAGTGTGATATAAACATACAGGGAGATGAGGAGAGCATGTGGAGCGGCAAAATAAAGGAAGCAAACCAAATACTTATCTTCCATACTTGGTTATACATGAAATCAGAAAACTAAAAAGTAGCAGTACACATACAGTATTTTTAAATGTACATGTCAATATGAGAAGAAATAAGGCGAAAGTGATTATCTCAGGAGAAGTGGACCTTAAAGTATTGAATTTTAAAACTATGTCGATGTATTACCTTAATAAAAAAATAAGAAATTAAACCCAAAATAATTTTTTTTATATGAAGAGCAATATTGATTAGTGAAAACAACTGAAATATAGGGTAAGTTTGTTATTTTTCTTTATCTCCCACTAATGGTAATTTATCCTGTTCCTGATTACCTTCTCCTGTTTACCTGGGCTTTTTGGTGGGGGGTGCGCCATCATTGAAGAATCCAAAAATCTCGTCTATATCAGAGGCCTGGCTCCCTGTAGAAGCCATCCAGTTTCTAAAACAGATTAAACACCATGCACTATGATTAGATCTGTAAACTGTAATATTCAAAATAACATATACATTAAACAGTTTTAAAAAGCTACATACCCTTAAAGGTGTTTTAGAGGTGACCCCGGCTTAACAGAAATTCATCAATTAGTGAGCATTACAAACTTAAGGATTAAATTAGGCTCAAATAAGTGACCTCGACATTGTAGAACTTTGGTGTTCCATACTTTCATCTTGTTTTGTTTTTTTTTGAGTTGGAGTCTCACTTGGTTGCCCAGACTGGAGTGCGGTGGCCGCTTCCGGCCACCGCAGCCTCGCCTCCCGG